TAGTGGAATTTGGCCAAAAAACACTAAAGATACATAAAATTATACTTCTGATCTGCAATTTAGTTCAGAATAAGGACCGGGGGATTCAAAGTGCACCGAGTTTTAATCTGAAGGCTAGCAAAGGCCTCTCCAGGGCCTCCAGGCTCCAGGCACTCCAGGAGTAGAGTTGCACTCGTTGGCTGGCCTCCCGGACCACGCTCGGCGCGGTCCGTGGTAGGGGTGGCGGGGCAGCGCCCGCCGGCGGGCCGGCTGTCGCTCTCACTCGCTCCCGCAGACCAAGTTTTCTCCCTCTTGCTGTAAGATGTATTCCTCTGCAGAAATGACCCCGTTCTCATCAAAATCTACAAGGTGAAAAAAATGATGACGTAAGGATTAAGTTCACACAAGCACCTAAACTAAGCAGCTAAACTGCAGTTTGATAGAAACAGAAACACTGAACGACGGTATTAAAAGATTACGAGATACAGAAAACGACTAACCTTCTATCTTGCTCGGCGTTATGAGTGACGCAATAGCTGACAAGAGGGTATTCCGATTCATCTTACAGTTATCACATGAAATTCTTAAACTCTTCTCTATTTGTATAGTCGTACTGACGAAAGAACAACACAGTTGCCCCTATCTTCACCACGCTTTTCAGCCAGTCGGTGTGCTATTCTTTCGTCAGACGGACCATATTGCTTTCTTGGAAGTTAATAATTATTATAAATCGTGCCATCGTCCGTAAGTCTGTCGGATGATTCCACTTTTCTACCAACCTCAAAAACGCGCCATGCCTCATGCCTCACCCCCAGCCCACAGCCATCCACAACCTACACTCGTCCACAAGTCTCTTCTCTTTTTTCCATCCACAACGAACGAACTTCTCATACTATAGATTTCTTCTGTAAATCTGCGAATAGTCAAAGTTTGCTTATTCGATGTGTTGTGCGTAAACAAACACGGAACCTGAAAATATTTGTCTTTGCACTAATTTTATTCTGTTCAGTATCGTTCATATTTAAGAAAAACATGCGCACCATTAACCAATAAATAATTATGATGCAAATCAGTCAAAGAAATGACTCCGCCCACCGACTACTTTACCACCGAAGATATGTTATAATTGAGCCGTATAACCTATAGTCTTCACTCAAGCAAGAAGAACAAATCTGATGAAGTTGGTTTGCGTTGCTGCAAATGGTACACTATTGTTCAGTACCTCATTGTGGAGGCAAGTGGAGAAAGGGTGGGGAACATTTGCGTTTTCATGCATTTCCGAAAAATGAATATATGAGGAAACTGTGGCAGGCTTCCATTCAACGGTCCAAGCCACCATCTCAATCTGCTAAAGTATGCAGCAAGCATTTCAAGGAGAGTGACTATATCACAGCGCCATCAGGCAAGTTCATATAACTTTTTGTATTGTGTGTGTAGTGTTTATCCTCAAACCGTGATTATTTATTCTGAAGTTGTTTTTTTTTCAGGTTTTAAGTACTTGATGAAGTCTGCTGTCCCTTCCCTCAATATTCCAACACAAGATACTCTAGCTTGCCTTTCAACAAGTACTAATGAGTCTGAAGTAAGTTCATAATTTTTCCTGCATTCTTACTACCATAACTAATTTTTGCTAAAGTTTCACTCTAATATAGTACCATGCTTCATGTTTTTCTCCTTTGATGTCAGGTATCAGTGGTCGACATCAATGCTGGAATACTTACCACAGATGGAGATTGTTGGGAGGAGATGGATGTCAAACAAGAAGTTAAGTTCAATCCAGATGCAGAAAATATGTCGCAGTTTCATCCACAGAACAGCACTGTACAGGATTTTCCCAGGCCCCTGGGTGTCCCTCTTCTTTCTTGTAACAGCATGACTAATGATGCATTTAAATATGTCACTGGCCTATCTAAATGTTGCTTTGAAAAATTCCTCAACATTTTAACTGTTTCACCATTTACATTGCCTGCTTGTGACTTGTCTGCAGGAAATCAATTATTCCTCACTCTGTGTAAAATGAAATGCAATTTCAGTTTTGACCATTTGAGTGTTGTTTTGAAAGTTGAACCTAATGCTGCCTTCATAGTATTTTCATTTTGGACATACACCATATTCAGAGTAATGAAATCAATGTGTCATGTCTCTAAAATCAGAGAGGGGAAATTGTTGGGTTCAATTTCTATTGGCTTAGTTCAAGTTAATGTCTTGAAGCATTACACTTCATGCATTGATTACATGTCGTCCTTCCCTCAAGTATCCACATCCCTCAAAGGAATTGTAGCTGTGGATGACTCTGAAATCAGATTGTATTATTGTTCCAAACTTTATGATGAATGTGTTTCTGCTGATGTCATGCTGCAAAACAGTGGTCTGAAGAAGTCCTTGGGTGCAACAAGTTTTCTGGCTAGTGAAAGTCTACTGCTCTCCAATTATTTTAAAAACTGTACTGCCAAGGTTACACCAATAGTGTCAGATTGTGTTTGTGGTAAAGATGCCATGACACGGTATCAGGCTTCAAAATTTGCAATGAGTAGAAAATGTTTTCAATGTCTTGTTGAAATGTATCGTATTTTAGCAGATGGAATACCTACCAATCTCACAATCATGCAATCAGAAATTTTCTTTAGTTGTATGATGATGCTAAATTTAAGAGAAGACCTATTTATGTCCGACTAACGTAAAAGTGTTACATTCAGAACACTTAAATGCCTTCAATGTTATTTTAAGGGTTGGAGTTGTAACTACTTTTTATTGGAGCCATCTGGAATTAAGTGATACTTATCGTGCATTGTCCCAGAACAGTTTGCAGCATATTTGCTACTCCATAACCAAAAGTGCCTAAACGGTGCAAGATAGAGTGAAATGGACAAAATTTTCGCCCAGAGGGCTCTATTACATTCACGAGTTACCCCTTAGGAGACTATAAAAGAAAAAAAATCCTTGTTTTGAAACCAACCCCTATTTCTTTGTTACCCCCTTTCACCCCCTTAGGGGTAGTTGCCAGGATTTGCACCAAGCGTTTCGTTGTCCAGGAGTGACCCCTAAGGTACCCTGAAATTTGTAGACCTCGTACTAAATTTCAGTTTGAAAGATTCCACAGCATAAAGAACTGCTCATGGTGTTTATGCCAGTAGTGGAAATTGTACATTAATTGTGGTATAGCATGTTCATCATTAAAATAAGAGATTGTATTTATTGAATGAAAGTGGATGCATGTAGTCAGATGTTTGAAAAATGTTTCCTGAAATCCAATTTCAATGTCTTGTTGAGATGTACCGTATTTTATCGGATGGAATACCTCAAAACCTTACAACCATGCAATCAGGAATTTTCTATAACTGTATGATTATACTAAATTTAAGAGCAGAATTATTTATGTAAAGTTTGTAGTTAAAGAAAAAGAGGGCAAATAAAACAACAGTTATAAATGGAATATCTATGAATCAATACTCCTTCAAAACTAATTTATAGAACATGCAAAGTGTAATAGAAGAGCGAAAAGCTCAAGTGAAATGTAGCTGCTCTTTAACAATGACTCAAGGCACAAAAGCAAAAAGGATGGTTAAAATCCTAAGTGAAGAAAAGAGTTGTGCTAGAATTTTTGAGCATGTAGGCAGCTCAATTTTTTTAATACTTATTTTTAATTATGTTGCATGATAAATCTGAAAATTCTTGAACTGGTTAGGGGCTTGTCCACGTAACGGTCAACCCGGAGAGTCCAACTCAAAATTAAAATTTTCACTCCGTGCAAAATCCTAGTCTGTACTACATGAACCATAGTTTCTTATTCCGGCGTTAGTTTCGAAATATTGGTGCTACTCGAGTTGCCACAGTCACGAAAAGCCAAACATTCTAAAAGTTGCCAAAGTAGCTAGATGAGAAAGCGGTTTTCAGATGCTAAAATTAGGTAGAGGACGAATTATTTTACCGGATTTTTTGCTGTGTCTTTTATGGATGACCCTTCTAGTGCCCCATTATCGCTTCACAAGTGAACCTGCCCCGATTTTTCTGCCCGAAAATGTCAAACGAAAATATATTAAAAGCAAATAATGTCAGTCCGTAACGAAAAACATGTGTTTACTTGTTTTGAGCGAACGCAACGAAACCCTGAGCAAATTCCTTTCAGATCCTACGTTAGTACATCGTTACAAACAAAAAATGACTCGAAACCTTTTTTGCCGTACCGATAGTTTAGGAGCTACACGGCGTTACGGACTGACATTTTTAGTAGAACTTGCTTCCGCTTGCTTCGTTACGGACTGACCATCAACAATGTTACGGACTGACCACCTACGAATCGGGACTACGCGCGTCCGGCGAGGGCTGCTGGTGGCAGCACAGGTACGATTCGCTTCCTCTCATGCGCGTCACAACAGTTCCGATAACCACTGCGCTGAGACATTGTAAACAATGGCGAAGACAGCGGCAGAAAGCGTTCGGGAGTACAGAGAGCGGAAGAGGGTTAGAGGTGACTATCAGGAATTGTTAGAAAAAGACAGGGCGAGGAAAGAAGTCGAACGGGCAAAACAGCGGAAGACGGCACGTGGTCGAGCGTCTCTGCGGACCCAAAACTAGCGTACAAAAGGGCACAGCGTTTGGGAGCAAAGGTAATGTTTCATTCCCATCGATTTTAAACCAATTACTACCATTCAGTCGTTTTCACGCGTATGCTCACACTGGTGTCTGGTAGGCGAGGGGCAGGGAGGCAGTGGTGCCCCCCTCCCCCCGCTGTTCAAAATAATTTAGTACCCTATTTTCTACACCAAATATTTTAATATTCTAGGTTTTTTAAAAGTGATATGTTATGTTTTGTTATTTTCTGACTTGAAATGAATCTATAGACCTTCTGAGCCGCTTTAAGCGCATGAGCTGGCAACGCCCCGATTTCTTTTAAAATCAGACGCAATTCAAAAAGAACGAAAATCACTTGCAGCTTGATTTTGTTATGCTGAATCTGGAAATGTAATCACTTTTGTCATTCAAAGATTTATTTCGTCGTATATTCAATTATAAGTGACTTAGCCCGGGGCAACGGCTTGCGGGCCAGGCATAGTCACTTATAATCGAATATACTCCGAAATACATTGTCAAATAACAGAAGTGGTTACATTTTCGGATTAAGCGTAGCGAAGTCTAGCTGCAAGTGTCTCTCTTTTTTTGAATTGCGTCTGATTTGAAGATTGGCAGTTCGAAGCTAGTTAAACTGCAGTTTGTTATTAGTTTTCATCATTTTCCGCCTTTTTCCCCAAATTTCTGCACTTGAACTGTAGTTTAACTGCATAAAATTATTGTAAAACTATAGTTCAACTACGATTTTAGCCATAGTACTGAGTACAGATCGTTCCAAGCGGGATATGAACTCCAAATATATAGTTCTTCCAATCCAAAATCGCTAGTGTCAGTCCGTAACGTTTTCCTGTCAGTCCGTAACAACGCACTTTCCCGGGCACAAGTATGGAACGGAATGAGATAAAAACAAACGAGTTGATGCACTAGATACATGGCTCTGAGGTCTAGTTTACGTAATTTTGGACGTTCTGATATCTTTTGTAATTTTAGAGCAATCCGGTCAAATGTACGTGTCAGAAAAACACAAGTTTACTTTTGGTCAGTCCGTAACGCTCACTTTGGGGCCTAACTGCGTGGCCATTTTTTCCGATACAAAAGATGCGGATACGTCTCTAGAAAGGTACTTTTTCTTGCTGTCAGATGCAATTGGGGCGAACTCCAAATGTCATCGCGTCTTCGGTCTAGGCGCGATTTAATACAAAACAGCGCTCCCAAACGTCAGTCCGTAACGCGTGGACAAGCCCTTAGAATACTACAAGGATTGCAAAAATGAAGCAACCACCAATCCTAATAGAACATAAAATCTCTAGGTGAGTAACCATGGAGACATAGGTAAATCTTAAGTATGAGTTGTACTGATGTCAGAACAATTTGACACCTGCTACTGGTACATTTCGTAGGTATAATTCTAACTACTAACAGGTAGAAAGGCGACGAACACATTGAGACGCTTATGAACTTAACAAAACGATTCACATACTTTTTGTCTTTTCAAATTGAATTACTGTGGCGAGTACAGATGTAAACAAATACCAAGCGGTACGCGGCTAAGAGAAAACTAAACAGCTCCAATGCCTTTGGTGAACGAGGTTATTCTCAGAACTCTTATTGTGTTATAATCAACATAATTTAACAATATGACAACTCAGAAGAGAAAATAGTTGAAAACAAAAACAACCAAGAACAATGACACCCAAAATTTTAGCTTCCTTTGCTATAGGCCTCCAGGTCGTCAACAACTTTCTTTGGCACTGTCCTTGTTACTGATTTTAATGCCTCCATGAAATCGTTGACGTCCACAGGAATATCCTACAAAATAAAAAATATTCAACATGTGGTGAGGCAATAATAAACTAATCTGTGCAAGTAAGTATGAAGAGATTAGAGAGCAGGAGGTCAAGTAGAAGTATTGTGGAGCATGAAAGAGAATTGAAATTTCAAGAAAGGGCTGCCCTGTCTTTCTGTTTTACTTGAACTGAATAAAATTAACCTACTGGAGATTTTTCAAAGGATCAGTACACTAATTTGAATTCTGATTACTCCAAGGGATGTGTTACAAGTTGACCCTAAACCATGTATAAAATAAGAACCGAATTCTGCGCATGGATATACTTTTCTTTTTAAGAAACAGGTCATTTTCCACACATGTGGTTTTTGGTTCTTAAAAATCAAAACATGCAATTAACTCTCTCAGAAATTTAAATTTGGTGGACTTACATTCTCTGGAAATACAAATCTTCCACGTGAGTCACGCTTTAACTTCCTTGTGTAGTTTTTGGAGGCCCAGCGGCACAATTGGTTGAGATCTGAACCACTGTAGCCCTCTGTCTCTCTTGCTATTTTCTCCACATCTTCCTCAGATAATGAATTTTCAGTGGAGGACATGATTTTGGTGAGCATTACTTTTCGGTCCTCAAAAAGACAGCATTTCATTATAATGTGAATGATTTTAGGACCACAGTTTAATGGTATGAAGGAAGGAAGGAAGGACTTACAGCTACTTGCGGCAGTGGCACATACAGCCGTGTGGTAAACCTTCTGATGAAGGCAGAGTCAATCGACTTGGGGAGATTGGTTGCCCCAATAAACAGCACTTTATCACTTGTCTTAGTTGTGCAGCCATCCTGCAAAGAGGTTGAAATTATTACAAATATATAACCAATGATACTTACAGCAGTATGCTAACTGTTTAATAAAATAGAGGCAAAAGCATATACCAGTTCGGTGAGGAATTCCATTTTGACTCGCCTCTCCCATGCCTTCTCATTGTCATTTCTAACACCAAGTAGAGCATCAATTTCATCGATAAATATTATAGTTGGTTGGAGAGCACTGCATTCAAATACAATTAAGATAGATATAAAAAATTAGAACAACCATAGAGAGAGCACATTTAGTTACTGTGGTCTTAAGTCCACCGCATTGCGCCAAGATCAACAACAAGTAATCTTAACTTACCGGGCAAGCTGAAATAATGTTTTCACTGCTCTTTCCGCCTCCCCAGCCCACTTTGTAATCAGAGAGGAGGCTGTGACACTAAAGAATTTCGCCTTCATCTGCGAGGCTATACACTTCCCTGAAACAAAATGAATAAAATGAAATGCAACATTTGGAACTTTGATACATTCTACTTACATGTGACAAAACAGAATACTATAACAAATGTTGACTTACCAATCATGGTTTTGCCTGTACCCGGCGGTCCATACATTAAAATACCTCTCGAAGCTGACCTGAGTCCAGTGAAACGGGCAGGATTTGCCCATGGCATTACGACATCTATCTGTGATAAGTAATTGAAATTGGATGAGTTTACAACAAAAAAGAAAGAAAACATAAACAAAACAGCATAATATACAAGCATGTACCTCTATGGTGTCCTTGATTTCTTCAAGTCCACAAACATCATCCCAGGACACCCGGTCAGATCCCGTCAGGTCAGCAAGCGTTGCAATGAGGATGGTAGCCATTTTCGTGTCCAAAGCACCTTTAGTGTACTCCATTGCTGCCTTCAAAATTTCTTCCGGTGTCTGTTTCTTTTCATTCTCTTTGGCTGGTTCAGTCTGATTCACAGTGCTTTTGCTGTCATCTCCACAATAGACGGTTCCCGCTTTGCACGTTTCGAGAAGAAGTAAGGAAATCGGGACCGGAACCAGTATGAAAAGTCCGCCTACTTTTCTTATTTAACTGTACAGTTTCACTTAGATGACCTCCAGGAAGTCCATGTAACTATGAAGGTTCATTTGCACTAGTTTTTACCGTAATTTCAGAACTGTTTCCGGTGACGATTTCCTGAATTCTTCTTGAAATGGGCACAGCGGGAACCGTCTATTGTTCTCGTTTTCATTGTTACTCTTGTCGTCATCATCCTTCTCCTCTATGACCGTTAGGTCAACAAAGTTAACGTCCTGCATAAGAAAAAGTAACATATCAAGTACTGAAATCACTGCCTCTTCATAACGAAAGAATTCTGTCACAGTCTTCCTATTTTCTACAAAGACTTAATCAGCTGTCCTTGGCGGGGTGCTGGCTGGAGTCGCTCCCACTCTCGCTGACGACGTGGTTCGCTTTGCCTTGCGCCCTCCAGATCGGCTGCGGCTCCTGCTTTGGCGCGTGCCCGTCCCGCTGGCACTTCCAGTGGAATCTAGTAGCTGTCGGTGGACGCTGCGGTCCCTGGAGGCGAGTGAGCTGTGGCGTTCAAGGAATGCTGACGCCCTGGGGCCACTGTGGGAGCGGCGGTGTCTTGACGGAGACCTGGTTTGTGACCGGCGGCCTCCAGGAGCTCTTGAAGACAGCCTAGAGCCGGAGCGGCGAGGTTCAAGGGCTCCCGACGCCCTGGA